GTATAGTATTTTATTTTAGGAATATTATCTTACTAGGTTTAGCGACCAAAAAAAGCTGCTCAACTGTCGCTGCGGCGTCAAGGCTGGACGATCTCATCCAGTTCCACCGCTCAGGGTGCCAGAGCTTTGTGATGATTTTTTTTTTAAATGTTTGGGGTTTTCTCGAAGTTATGCCCGAGGTTCCTATCCTAAGCCCCTCATGGGCCCTTTTCGAGGTTCCTATCCTAAGACTCTTGAAGAACCTTTCAATCTTCGGGGCTGTGTAGGGCATGATCATTTTGAGAACTTCGCTTTGTGATCGTCTTTGTTTTTCCCAACTGAGGCGCCAGACCTCCAGAGCCAACTCTAACAACCGCTACTCCTTGCGGCTCTCAGAGTTAGGCTTCCCAGGGTCCTGAGGTTTTGCAGTCTCCACTTGTTAATGTAGACCTGTGATGACTAAACCCCTTCCTTTTGAAGGGCCTTCATATTGGGATCCCTGTTAGAATTCCTATAAACGGAGGGGGTTTATTCATCACGGGTCTACAATATAGTTTTGGATTGTCAGCTGAAGCTTTATGGTTATTAGCGTTGCTATTATGGTTGCAAATCTCAAGGATCAAAAGTGATAGGAATCACTGTGTGTGTTGGCGACCTAGGGGTCGCAGGTTTGTAATGGGGGTTCTATCTCAGGGACTCTGAAAGCTCAGGTCGGGATGTGGGGGCTTCCAAAAAGAATGGGTCGACGCCCAATGACACTTAGCCCCCTGGGCCTTCAAGTAAGGATAGTTCCATTGTTGGGGTCTATGCTGTGCCCTCCCTCATCTTTGGAAACCCACGTGTATGGTGAGTGCTATGTATTTCTTGTTCTGTATTCTGTTGAGACCACATCACCCTGTGTTCCTTGAAGTATGTCAATTTTGAGAGTTTAGTCTGATGAGCTCATGCCAGATATTTGTTGATATCTTGGGTCTTCCCCCTCCCAGTGATTGTCTTGAAAGAGGTTTTATGAGGTGGCTATTGTTGTAGAACTCCTATGACCTCGTGTGGTAATTGTTCCTGGAAGGCGGCAACAGTAAACCCTAAACCCGAAACCTTATTCTGAAGGGGAAGGACGAAGTTCTGGAGTGATTACATTGGATATTGCCTCCCTCCCCCAGCAATGTAGTTGTAGTGATAGTCTGCTCTGTTCGGTTGGGATTCCATGGACGCAGGGCCCACATAGATCTCAACAGATGATATCACACGTCTTATGAGGACTCCAATTTTTTCCTCCCGCATTCGCCATAGTCATCCCATGCCTAGGCCATAACCCCAAACCCTATATATCCTCATTTCCAAGGTTAGAAGTATGGGCCTCTAATATGGGGCCTTTTAGGGACCCTCAAGGGTACATATAGGGTACATAGTGGGCATGCAAAGGTCCCAGGTAAATGGTTCATACTAGGGGCCCATGGTTTCAACCTTCCCTCTATATAACCCTTATAGAACCATACGTGACTCCTTAAACCCAAAACCCTAAACCCTGAACCCTAAACCCTAAAACCCTAAAACCCTGAACCCTAAACCCTAAAACCCTAAACCCTAAAACCCTGAACCCTAAACCCTATATGAACCCTGTAAACCCTTCGGGGCGGTGAAGAGGTTATGAGCCCTTCCTCCGCGCACTCGTCGAGGAGGTGGCGCCTTTGTTCGGCCAGCTGGAGGCCGCACTGGTCTGTGGTTCAGGGTTTCGGGTTTAGGGTTTAGGGTCCAGGGGACTTAGTAAGTACGTTAATCATGGGGATAACTGGGGTTGCTATCTATGGCGTACAGGGGGTGTGGACCTATGTACTAAGTCCCGCGGACACTCCAAGTTCCAATTGTGGTGGTTGTCGTGCTTGGCACGAGAACCCCTGGTGGTGTAGTAGTCGTAGTAGTCCTGCGCCACCAGCAAAATGCAAAGTTGTCAACGTTGCCCAACCATGTCACACACGCATATGTGTATGATATATATATATATATAATATTTATGCGTAGAGACATCCAGGGAGATATCTTTCGAAGCAGGCTTTCCAACTTGCCAACCCAGAATAACATCGGATGACCAGTGCATGCATGCCCAAGACGAATGACATACATGCCCGAGTGCATCTGATGAGCAGTGTATCCACGCACAAACGACAATAAAACCGACCGCGTCCAAGAACCAGAGAATGCATTCCAAACCCCAATTGCATCTGATTGCCAGAGCATTCGTGCGCAATCCACAAGTGTGTCTTTTCCCTCAAGGATCTGGTTCCTCGAGAATGCATGCTCAAACCATAGTAGGATCCATTCTGAGCGCGTCCAATGACTAGTACGTGCATCCTAAA